GCTGGACCGGGAGGAGCTGTGCGGGAAGAGCGCGCCGTGCGCCCTGCGCCTGGAGGTGCTGGTGGAGCGGCCGCTGCGCGTCTTCCACGTGGAGCTGGAGGTCACCGACATCAACGACAACGCCCCGCGCTTCCCCGCCGCCCCCAATCGCGGAATTCACGACGCTGCCGGGGTCTCGGTTCCCGCTGGAGGGCGCGTCGGATGCGGATATCGGAGCCAACGCGCAGCTCTCCTACACCCTCAGCCCCAGCGAGCATTTCCGACTGGATTTGCAAAAAACGGAGGACGAGGGCGAGTCCTTATTCCTGGTGCTCGAGAAAGCCCTGGACCGTGAGTCGGTGCCTGTGCACCGTTTGTTGTTGACGGCGAGTGACGGGGGCCGTCCGTCGCTGACGGGCACGATGGAGCTGGTGATCTGGGTGCTGGACGCGAACGACAACGCGCCCCAGTTCAACCAGTCGGTGTATAAAGTAAAAGTCTTAGAGGGTTCAGAGCGGGGAACTCTGTTAATCAAGCTCAGTGCCACGGATTTGGACGAAGGGATCAATAGTGATATCGCATATTTATTTAGTAGGCGCGTCGGTGCTCAAGTAAAAGAAATGTTCACAGTCGACGAAAACAAAGGAGAAGTCAGACTTCAAGGAAATTTAGACTATGAAGAAATGGACACTTACGAGATTGCAATCGAAGCGAGAGACAAAGGCTCCCCCCCGCTGTCGGGTCACTGCAGCGTGGAGCTGGAGGTGTTGGACGTGAACGACAACGCGCCGGAGGTGCGGGTGACGTCGCTGTCGGTGCCGGTGCCGGAGGACGCGGCGGTGGGGACGGTGGTGGCGGTGCTGAGCGTGTGGGACCGGGACTCGGGGGCGAACGGTCGGGTGCGGTGCGCGGTGTGGCCGGCGTCGCCGTTCGGTCTGGTGGCGCCGTTCGCGGGCTCGTACTCGCTGGTGGTGCGGGAGGCGCTGGACCGGGAGCGGGTGTCGGAGTACGAGGTGGAGGTGCGGGAGGAGGACGGCGGGGCGCCGGCGCTGCGCGGCAGGCGCGGGG